AAACTCAAGACAGCGTAAGCACAATTATTCCAGATATTACAGGTTCCGACAAGTAAAGAATTTTTATAGTCATGCCACAAATAAGCTATATATTGATTATTGACCATTTGTGACATGCTATAACGAGCAAAAATTTAAAAAAACTAATAGGTAGGTTTAAAATTAATAAATACAAATGTATTCTGGCAGTGAATGAGTTAATTATGCTTTCTATTTGCAAAACTCCTCAACCTTAACACAAAATAAGAAAAAAAGTGAATTTTTAAGAAATTTGCGGGATTTCCCGGGATAAGAAAAATTTCCCGGGATATTTCCCGGGTTAAAAAAACAACCGGGATCCCGGGATCCCGGGATCCCGGAATCCCGTTTCAGAAACCCTAGTCACACCATACACACGAATAGCTTTCCGGCTCTTACAATTATTACCAACAAGCATAAATACTATCACAAATTATATTAATATAATTTATACATACAAATATATTTTTCTTGAACCAATTTATACCAAGAATGTTTTGCAAATATTATTGGATAATCTTTGCAAAACGTTTACAAATATCAGTTAGGTATGATGAGTCGATGATTCTTTACAACAATGCAGTCATAATATATAAGTTCATCTTTATAAGTAGAACTTTTTGATCGAGTGTACGGGTCAAAGATAAAAAGTCATTCTTGTCTCATTGCATAACTTTGGTGTTTCATATTTCGCAAAAGCAATACTGGTGCTCCAACCTGTACATCTAGGTTACGAGGTGGTAGTTCATTTGATTTCGAGGAGTTTGAAAACTCCGCGGGGTACATTCGGTAAAGTATTCGTTTATAGATTCTAATATCGCTCACGTATGTCTATTTATGGTTTATTTAGTGTTATCGAATTAGTATCCGGATCTTTATTAAATTTACCATGTGCGAGACGCAAAAGTTGTACAGCAACTTTCTGCACTATCTGCACTATCTGCAGATCTGTCTTCCAATAGATGGACCCTCGTAGTTGTTGACAGAGACAACTTTTTAATTTGATTCCACAGTTACGATGCCTTTAGGCAAATATTAAGCTACTTGGGGGTGTCGGCAGACAAATTCCTTCGCACTATTAAATCTCCTTTATAAGTTTCTAATGTGAGGAATAACAATGGTAATAATAATAATGCTAGGGATACGGTAAAATAATAAAATAATTTTTTATACATAAAACTAAAAGGGCGAAGGCAAGATCTTAGATCGAGGAACTCTTATGCCTGGTGTCTTAAACACTTCTCTATTGTGATAACAATAAGTGAGCCTTCAAGACTTATAGCCTAAATACTCAATTTTCAAAGGCAAGTCTTTCGAAAGACTGGAGAAGTGAGTGCTATTGTTTGGACAAGGATCTGCTTGTGTTTAGGACTACGTGTCACCAAGTTTCGTTCGAATCGGAGACGACCATACTCATACAAATTATGGTCCAGATCGGTTTAACAATAAAGATTTATACAGTCGACCCCCCTATAATACTGTTGATTATTCCGTTTTATATGAATTTTATGTTGTACTGTACGAGTCACTTAGATTTTACAAATACGTTAATAAATTAATGAAATTACTCAGCAACACCTGTAAGCTGTATTTTTATAAAATAATTTTCTATATGCATAGTTTAGTAGAATTCCGACGTGACAATGAAATAAATCATGAAAATCGATTTATTTCATTTCATTCACAGAATAAACAATAAATATAAACAATAATTAAAGTTTATAAATGTGCACACTAAGTGATAAAGCTATTCATTTTAAACAGCTGAAAGGCATATTAATAGGCTAAGTCTATGTAGACAAAATACAGTATATAATAAATAGAAAATAAGGACATAGAAACATACGAATTAATATGTATTTTATATTGTTTAATTTATTTGTAATCCTTTTTTATTTTATTTACTCATTACATTAGTTAAGTAATTGTCATCTTGACTTTGATTCAATTTTTTAAAACGGACGGTTATCGAACTCACTCACAATCCCTACACTTATAAGGATAAGCCCTTCTTCTCGGTTTTATATAAAATCTTAATATCGCGTGTTAGGGCGCAAATATATTACCCTAGCTGGTGTCAGGTCCTAACGTCACAAAGATCTAAAGATCCCAGTGACTATTCTATAAAACCACCCATTGAGAAACTGAGCGAGTTTAGCCGACTTATCACCGATTAAGTGGTATATAGGCAATAGTTTTTACCAACGGCTTTTCACACTTTCTTGTTGAATGTCTCCATACTGCTCATTGACAGATTGAAGGTAATCGCAGAGTACTAATTCTGTACATATGTGATTTCTATAAGTCTATAACGTTGACATAATTATGTGTTTATGCAATTAATTTTTGTTTATAGAAAAACAATATACAAACTTCATATAATTCCGGATTAAATTATTTTTACTTAGTAATTTTCAAAAAGAAAAGGTCTGAAGTTTATGGAAATAATTGAGAATTTATTAATAATTTATATTTAATTCAAATCACTACAATCTGAATGTTAAATATTGTGTGTAATTTCGTCACTAAAATTTAAACGTCAAACTCATTTGAAATCTTCACTTACACAGATTACAATCGAAAGAATTACAAAACAATCGTAAACTAAAAAGTATTTTAACGTTTTTAAAGTTAAAAATGTTCCTTAATGATACTTTTTCATGTGTTCTTGCATTGAAACTTCGTCGTCGAACTGAACTTGACACAAGACACATTCCAATTCATATCGATCGATTCTTAGTTCTGGGAACAGAATGAAAGATATAGATGGTACCACATCTGTTTCGAAGGTAGTGTCTTCATGAATGTTTTCAAAATTATGTTATCACTTGTCATATTATAAACGATTTCTTTACGTTGTAATTGTGCTTTTTCGAAAAGAATTTCTGCACTGTAACACGGATCAAATTCTTTTTTATTCCTCTCATTTAGGGGAAGGTGGTGCAAGATGGGGTCGTGGGGGAAGACGGGGACGTCTGTTTATTTGTGGTTAATCGCCTGGAAACATTTACAAAATGGGAGAGACGTTACCCATAATAAATTCATCAGTGTAATTAATAATCTATGATAATCTCTAATAATACAGAATTTTAATCACAAAAAAAGTAAATTAATAAGAGAATCATTCATCGAAATTATATTTCTTACCATTAATATTCTCATTCATATCGACGAGTAATTTTTATTATACATTTGAAAATATGACGAATAATCTGAACGTGATGAATAAAATATATAAAATCAGCCAAAAGTCTCATGAGAAAACAGGAATAAAATGCAATTATATCTCTGGTTTCCAATTATTATTGTGCTTAAATCANAATGAAATAAATCGTGAAAATCGATTTATTTCATTTTATTCACAGAATAAACAATAAATATAAACAATAATTAAAGTTTATAAATGTGCACACTAAGTGATAAAGCTATTCATTTTAAACAGCTGAAAGGCATATTAATAGGCTGTCTTCGTAGACAAAATGTATAACAAATAGAAAATATAGACATAGAGACATACGAATTAATATGTATCCTATATTGCTTAATTCATTTGTAATCCTATTTAATTTTATTTACTCATTAAATTAGTTAAGTAATTGTCATCTTGACTTTGATTCAATTTTTTAAAAAGGACGGCTATCGAATTTACAATCTCTTCACTCCTAAGGATAAGCCCTTTTTCTCGGTTTTATATAAAGTCGTAATATCGCGGGTTAGAGCGCAAATATATTATCCTAGCTGATGTCAGGTCCTAACGTCACAAAGATCTAAAGATCCCAGTGACTATTCTATAAAACCATCCATTGACAAAGTGAGAGAGTTTAGCCGACTTATCACCGATTAAGTAGTATATTGACAATAGCCTTTACCAATTGCTTCTCACACTTTCTTGTTAAATGTCTCCATATTGCTTATTGACAGATTGAAGGAAACCACAGAGTACTAATTCTGTGCATACATGATCTTTATATCTCTATAACGTTGANTGCAGTAATGCACTTGCTGGATTTCGGTTAGAGAAATGGTAAAGTATGTTTTTATTATAAGTACTGAATACATTCAAAATTGTTTTCCGATGAGCTAAATCTTTTACGAACAAATCGAAGGACACGTTTCATTTGGTTGTTTTCTTCCTTTTCGTTTTCGGCCATCGTCTTGGAATCGGTTCGTCATTAAAGAAAGAAGAGGAAAGCACAATAAATAGGTGTAATTCACGAATCTTCGCTCGTTACTAATGACGTATTTTTGTTTTGTTACAGAAAAAAAAGTCGACAGAAGTTTTATTTTACTCTGTTGATAACCCACAATTGTTTGTGTCTGAAGACAGAGAGGGTGAAGATTGTGTTGTCTTTCAGCCCTACGACGAAATGAATGGAAGCTTTTGGAATTATCGTCCACACAGGCCGGTTAGTCCCTTTCGTCGACCTTTTGACTGTCGCCATTTTATTTCTACAATCGATAGTCTGGGTGTAGATTATTTCAAATTTAATATGATTTACAGTCTTGATTAAATGAGAAAACCTCGTTGACGATTTCACCAGAAAGAAAAAAAAAACAGAAGGAAGATTTTAACGAAGCGGAAGAGGAGACTTTTCAGGTAACATTTCGAATTCCCCTGGTTCTTGTGGACAATGATAACGAGTATTGTGGTATTTTCCGTGTCTTTCTTGACTGAAGTTTGTTAAATTAGTAAGTAGATTTTCACTTTTTTCCTAAGGTAATTTTAATTAAAAAAACTTTTCAAGAAACGATTCAGTTTGTATAACTTAATTCTGCAATGAAAGCTGTAAAATAGAAAGACCGAAGGGAAGTTAATTCTTCATAAAATACATTTATACCTAATTTTAAAAATCGCAGATAAAATTACTTTATATATAAACATTTGAAATACATTGATACTGTTCCTGGATGAGTAAAATTAATTTGAATTGATTCATATGCCTTTGTGTGTTTATCATAAAATCTAATATGTAAGTGTCTACTGGGACATATCGTATTAGTAGGTGTCCGAGTACTGCAAATTGAAACTTGTTCGGAAAAAACAATCTGTATTGTTCATCTGCTTATTGTATACAAGAAGGTAGGCCCGGCGTTGCTCGGGCAAAGGTAACGATAGCGAAGATTAAGATTATTACGTTATAGTCAACTTTACCCGTTTTCAAAGAATGCAAGAATTGGGTACCCCGTTTCCAGACTAATTACAGAATTTTTAGATGGGTCTAAAAATATCTTCGATTTCCTGCAAAAACGAAAAAACCTGCACTTTCTCTTTCTCTTAACACTTGCATTGTTACTTAACACTTCTATTGTTGATGGAAGTGTTAAGCTTAATCCTGTCTCTCTCCCCCGGGGGGAATTTCGAAAAATCCCTTCTTAGTGTGCGTTTTCGTGACGTACCCTAACTGTGTACCAAATTTCAGCTTTCAACTCCTAACCGTTTGGGCTCTGCGCTTATTATTATTATCAACTCGTCTCGGTTATATATATAGGCAGGTTTAATGTTTGAAAATATAATACCAAATTTATGTTGATCTTTTCAAATTTTCATGTAATTATCCAATTATCCACTAAAAACCTAAATCATTTTAATCGCATTATTGTCGGAAAAATATAACAATATATAAAATCTTGTTTTAGCAAGTTATGGCAGTAAACCTGCTGACGAGGGAACAAGAGGTCCGAAACACAAAGTGTGTACAGCTGAAAAAAGTGAACAATAAAGATTGTTTTTTCTGAATAAGTATCCTCAATTCGCAGATTCCGGATACCATTATAACAAGTCCTACTAATACCATATGACCCAGTAGACACTTATATAATAAATTAATTTGAATTAGTTTCTTTTTCAGGTTTTAAACCGAACTGCTATTTTATGG